TTTATACTGTTTCAAAGTTTCCCAATGATTTTTACAAACTTAAACAAGATTTCAAGGTCATTGCAAAACTTGCATAATAAGAAATGGATACAACAACCATGGTAAAATATAATACAACTTCCTTGGTAAAATGTTCATTTCACTGTTCTGAAATGAGCTTGTATTTAAATGGTTGTGCAAATTATATAATTATGTACATTTAACAGTCAATATCTTGAATTAATCCTTTCTTGACTTTCTTTTTGGTGCTTTTCTGGGGGACTTCGACTTTGACCGCGTTACCCTGCCAATCACATTGTTTCTTGTTCTTTTCCTTAAACAGAAAGAGCTTATGGTATCAAGATACTGCTACATTACAAAAGATTATCATATACATAACTAATTTATTTGGGTGAAATCCAATGAGAGCACCAGTGTGTGTGTGTGTGTGTGGGGGGGGGGTCACATGACGGTTCTGGTAAACCTCGTACAGCTCAGGTTATTAGTACTCTTTATTTTATGACATTTCTTCTCAGTTTCTTGAAGTGCACCTAAAACCTTTAGGATCTCCTTGTGATGTATAAGTCCTTTGAAAATGACTAAGGATGCCGTTTTCCATTTGATGTTACACTTTTTTCTTGTCAAGATATTTAATAYTGGAGTTTGAAAAGGATGACGTCATTACAGGGATATAAGAGAAATACAAATCATACAAGGAATATCTTCCTGAAAATTAGCTTAACTCAGTTGAAATTTTACTCTTATAATGTACCAGGGACAACCATGGAAACTACTTTGTACACAGGCTCCTTCTCAAGAAAGAGTAAAAATCCTCAATTTCTGGCTTTTTCAACTAAACTTCTATCAAAAATCCAATGTAGACCACAGATTAGTTGAATGGGGAAAAAGATCATAGCACGACAAAGTCATGACTTAACCAACAGCTGGTAAAAATGAGGATTTGGAGTTTCTCTTGAGGAGCCTAGATACTAAGTAATTTCCATGGCAAACACACCAAATTGTTTGTTATCCCAGGAACATAATTAAAAAGGTTCAATTGATTTGATCTTTTCTAGTAAGGTATTTTTCCTTTCATGGTTTGTGTTTCTCCTAGACCCATATGATGTAATACATACAATACGAGTGGCCGATCTGTATACGATATACAACCATGAGCCGAAGTCGAGGGATTTTATATCGTATACAGATCAGACACTCATATTGCATATTACTTATGAAGCATCTAGATTAACTCTCAGGTTTTAAAGGTATTTTAACAATAAAAGTCAATAATAACAAGAAAATCCAAGTTGAAGTTTATGCAAGTGAACAGAATTTTGCAGGTATACAACTCTCTTTACGATTATGATTATCTATTGTATTTCCTTCATGAATTATTAAATGAGTTTATAAGACATCATCAATTTCGAACTCCATTATTAAATATGTTGACAAAAAAAAGATATCATCAAATGGAAATTGCATTCTTGCTTWTTTTCAAAGGGCTTTGATATCACAAAAAGATCCTGTAGAGGTTTGGTGCACTTTAAATTTCTCCCAGGTGAAAATAAGGAGCTTACCTGCCAGTCCTCCGTACTGGAGATGGACTTCTTGATGGCAAATGTTCAAGTGTTGACACAATATTTCTTTAAGTGAAAGACAGA